AAAAAAAAAAAACACAATGGGGTCACTTAAAAAAATTCTGGATGCTAGTAGAGTTTCAAGGAAATTAGCAGTAGTCAAGATGTTTATGAGATTAAAGATGATGTAATTTGCATAAGTGGCTAGTACCTGGGATCCTCTTCTGCAACTTTTTAAGGTCATGAGTGTTGGGAAGTCATTGTGGGATGAGGAGAGGAATCTCTTGCTTTCCATCTTCATTTAAGGCAGGGGCCTGAGCAGTGATTTGAGTCATTCAATGCCAAAGGATCACCCTGGTAGTAATATGACTTTTGGGGAGCAAATTCATCACTCATGAGGAGAAAAGAAGTATAGAAAGAGCAGAAGACTTTAACCTTTAATATTCATAAAAAGGCAGCTACATGTTTCCTCTAGAGAAATGAACACATGTTTATTTTCCCCCATCCCATCTCCATGTTGGAGATAATAAAATCATAAATTTATTTAAAAATGTAAAATATTCTAGCACAAACATTACATATGTAATATTAGAGATATATTTTCAAATAATTCCATTTAAAAGAACTATAATTTTCATAATGCATTAAAAAATTAAGAACAGCTTACAAAAATATCACACACTGAAGTATTAAAAATTTATACCTGGGTGTAGTGGCATACCCCTGTAATCCGAGTAATTCAGGAGACTGAAGCAAGAGGATCACAAGTTCAAGTCTAGCCTGAGCAACATAGCAGACCTTAAAAAACTAAAAATAAATACATAAATAAATAAAAGGATGGAGGATTAGCTCTGATGCAGCATACTTTGGAGATTAATCCTCAGTACAAAAAAAAATTCATCCTGATCATGATTTTCTTATTGTCTTACTTCATTCCATCCCTCAAGAAAAGCAGCATCACTTAGTTTTATTATGTTTTAAAAGCAAATGGATAATTAATTTCCTGATAGAAGCAAGAGCTAAGTTTAAGTCTAAAATTAATTTCCAGAAAGAGTTATGGCTATTCCAAATTTTGGATTTTTAATGAAATTATTGCTGATATATGTGTACAGGAATGATCCATTGGGCAGAAGATTGGAAAACACAGACAATTATAGTTAGGGATAGGTTCCTTCTTGTTGAAAGGGACTCATTCTCATTAGGATAGAGTATAAATTAAGTGTTTTCTTTGGGCTGACATCTTTTGCAAGAATGTTTTTAGTCTTTGGTGAGAAGGTGAACATGATTGCCACATAAAGTCACAAACCTCAGAGGAAGCTGAGAGCTGGATGAAATATGTATGTAAATCCTGAGCACAGTGGAAAGCATGGTAACAAATAAATATACTTGGCAGGAGATGATAAGGTTCTTCCCTGCCTACTTTACCACTGTAAACTCAAGTTTGCCATGGGGATTTGATTAGGGGACGATAACATTTCTTCATTCATTCATTAATTTGCCCATTTACTTAATTAACAAATATTTAATGAGCACCATTATATGTCATAAGCATTATGAAACTAGAGATAGAGGAGTGAGCTATGTTGAGAGCACTTTGATAGAATTATTTGTATTGTGTCACAAAACTTCAAAAATTAATGTCTAATTTACTGAGTGGATTCTCAACAAATTTTTTGGAGAAAATATTTGGCATTGGATGAAGTTCAGATGATCCTCTCATCATAATTATCACAGCGATTGAACTGTCTGAAACATTTGGGGTTCATTATGCTATCCAAATTTCCTAATGCTATACTCAAAAAAAACAGTGTGAGTAGGTAGGTACTTGTCCAGTTCTGCTCTTTGCATCTATGATTGATACTTGAAGTGTATTGTTTGGTGTTTGTTTAAAGAAACTGTGTGTGTGTGTGTGTCTGTGCACGCTTTAATCACAAATATTTTAAATCACTATTAAGAAATAATATAAAAGCACTACCTAGCACAGAACCTGGTGCAGAGAAAATTTTTAATAAAGCATCTTTTCAATAATCAAATGGACTATACTATTTGTGTACTATTCTAAAGGCTGTGGTATAAATTTTAGGGACCAGAGAACAGGGCAGGGACTATTTGTAAGTGGCCATCTGAGGTCCTCTAGATAGGGCATTACTAATGTCATGGGAAACTACCTGAGTGAGCCAGCACTTAGGTGTTTGTCTCAGAAGGGCTATCTATAGTCAAGAAGTATTCATGAGCAGTTGTTGTTAAGGAAAGAAACAAGTCTCCTTCTTTTGCTCCAGCTAAGGAGTGGAAGGTAGAAATGAAAGAGAGGGAAGAAGAATCAAAGAGAAGATCAGCATCCCTGTTCTTTCACATATGTCCTTCTAGTCACTGATCAGGCTCAGTTTGCTGGGATAGATGACTTTAAATTTTGTGAGTCCTTATGCAATTTGGAGAATGCTCTTCAAAAAGTAGAATACAAGCTAAGAGGAGTGGTGCGTTCCTGTAGTCCCAGCTACTTCAGAGCCTGAGGCAAGTATCTCAAATTTGAGGCCAAAGTGGGCTACTAAGCAGATGCCCTGTTTCAAAATGAAAAACAAGGGCTGGGGTTGTAGCTCAGTGGTAAAGCGTTTGCCTAGCATGTGTGAGGCACTGGGTTCGATTCGCAGCACCACATGTAAATAGATAAAGGCTCATGGACAAAATGTATTTTAAAACAATAGAGTTTTTTAAAAAAATGAAAAATAAAAAAGGCTGGAACTATAGGTCGGTGATACCCCTGAATACAAAACTACATACTCAGTGTTAGGTATAAGGTTTAGAAGGGGCCCTTGATGGTTCAGGACTCAGAAGTGTACAGTTTATTATCTATGAAAAAAAAATGTTCTTGTGGGAGTGAGAAAAAGATCCCTGAATTGGATTTAAGCTTGACAATTTTATTCAATAATGAATAGATTTTTAAAAATCCACTATGTGTGTATACATTTTTCTGTCATCACCATCACCATCATCATTACCATCACCATCATCTCATGTGAATGTTACGACTGAAAGTGGTTGGAATCTAAGTTTGTTACCAAGGAGTAGACAAAGTGGATCTATCATAGTATATGAAAAGGCAATGATGGGAGAAGCATATAGTCTTGTCCTGATTGTACCTCAGAACCATTTAATAATCCCAGCTCTAATTCTTGGTAAAACAGGGAAGAATAAGAGTATTTTATAGTTACTTTAAATTAAATCCACTGACTAGAAGACAATCAATTACAGATAAAAAATTAAAGATAAAAATACAATCTTTTAGTGTAACAACTTCAGGGTCTTTAAATGTAGACAGAAATGCTAGAGAACAAGCTTCAG